TCTTGTTCCATTGGCAAAATATGTCTTTTACCTTCTAAATTCAAGAACAAATGCAATTATTTTAAGAAATAATGACTTATCTAGATTTAGATTTTTTCCAGTGTAGGTTTAACCCTTTAAGTCATTAACAGAGCAAGAACAGGATCCCATCGTCTCCAAGCCTGACATCCATATCCAACCTGAGTTAGGAACATTTCAGCTCGTTTTTCTTCAATAAAACAACTACATTTGTATGTAAAATTCGGGTTTTTCACCATTAAAAACACGTGGAATCGTTTTTTTGTTTGTTTATAACTAAATACCTTGTATCTAAAAAAGCAAATACCCCAAAAGATTGCTTTTTTCTGCATTAATTAGACTTTGTAGAAACCTCTGAGTAACCGGGGACATTCTGTCTCTGCTTCCTATGGAGTCTTAATGAAATAAATACTGTGCTCATTAGTTTACATCCTCTCAGAGTTAATATATTTTGACACTTTGTTTTTTAGAAAATGTTTATTATCACAAAGAAACTCTTATTTGCAGTGTCACAGCCTTTTAGAATTAAATATCAGATTTTCTTCTCAGAAACTCACCTTTAAATGACTGAACAGCTGTTTCTCTGCCAGCAGGGGGCAGCATCACTCTTCTACCTTATATGATTAAATTAGTTTTTTATTGAGTAGCTCTTACTTTTTCTTGTATGTCTTATTCTTTGCTGTTTTTATTGAGATGATCGCCTCAGAAATCAGGTTTTCATCCTGGAAGAGTTTCAAATTGGACTAAAGGGGTTTTTCCCCGTATTTTCAATTTTAGTTTTAGCAAAACAATGACAAGTTAATTCACTGTGAGCATAGTTTGATAAACAAACCAATAAGGTAAAAATACACATAAATAAAAAGGGGGACAAAAAATAGTACTAGTTTAGATGATAAAAAAGAAAAGAAAGTTGGATAGAAACCAGTTTCAAATGCTCTAAAAGTTGCTGCATACAGTATAGAACTGCTGAGGTCAACCTGATGCATCAAGTCTCATTTTTCAAAGAGCAACAATCCTATTAATTCCCTGAGCCAAGATTCAAATTAAGGTGTAACTTTAGATTTCCATCATTTAGCTTTAGGCTATCACTGTAGTCAAATTATGACCCAATTCTAAAAGGAGCTGTTGTAGTTCAGGGTGGATAGTTCTTTTAGATGCACAGGAGTACTATAGAAATATTGGATACCAGGAACCCTGGATGCTTAGGCTGAGCTAAGTTGGTGCTGTCCGGGATCTTCTATCTGCTACAGAGGGGACGCTTGTGGGAAGATTTTATTTAACGTTACTTTAACTAAAGTCTACATGGCAAAAATTATTTAAAAAATAAGTAGAACTTTTGTTTTTTATAAAATAAGTGTATTGACCCTTTTATAAGCACAAAATAAGATGATCTGTCAACAGAATTTGTGTTTCTTTTGCCTTTAAAGCTGTACTCGGGTTGAGGTGGTATCACCCTTCTCAAAAAATTTTTTTTTAAATCATCTCCCTTCTTAAATGACCATTCCCCCATACCATTTTTTATTATTTAACAGTTTATTATATTTATTTTTATTATAATTTCGTTTTATTAACGAATGTGTAAAATTTCTACTAAACTATACATTTCTATATTTTATATATATATGCAATAATATT